TGAGCGCCGGGCCAAGGAGTCCGTCCCTCTCCCATACCAGTTCAGTGACGAAAAGTAAGTCCTTCGGTCGGGGGGTGGGGAGTGGATTTGTTGTCGTCAGTATTTGCCAAGTGTCTTTGTCTTGCTTTCACAGCCCAATTAAAAACCTTAAAAGCCTACCCAGACCATAGCTGTCAACTGTCCCTTATTTGGTGGGAAACTCCCTTATCCCAGCGCCGTGTCCCGCTGCTGTCCCTTATTGATGATGTCCCTTAAATTTCCCGGGTTTCAAAGGAAGCAGCTCCTCTCCCTCCCTCCCTGCCGGCCAGGGAGGAGGGAGGCTCCAACTGGGTTGCTTGGCTGCGTTGCTCACCCAATAAGGAGTCTGAGAACGACTGGGGGGTGGCGCTTGCTTGCCTTGTGCCAATCAAATCGGCCGCGTTGCCTGGGGACTCGCCTTTGCTCAGCGCTTCCCAGCGGAGAGGTGACGATGGTTTTCCTTGCTGCATCCCCTTTGCCGGGTTGCTGCGCTGTCGGAGGGAACCACCGCTTGAGGCTTCGTTTGGCTGCTGGCTGGGCTTTCTGCCTTTGGCTCGAAGGGGCTCAGAAGTCGAACACACCTGTGCCGGGAAAATCCCTTCTTTTGGCTGCTGATCCCTTATTTTTGAGGCTGTTGGTCCCTTATTTTCAAATCTGTAAGTTGACAGCTATGATCCAGACATAGAATTGTACTCTGCGTGTTTGCTTTCCAAGTCTGCTAGATGTATCTGGGCTATATTTTATGCAAACAGCTTACAGAACTCATAACTCGGGCCTCGATGCCTGACAGGCCACCTCCTTCCCTGCGGTCCCTCTCAGGTGCTAATTTGGGGGGGGAGAGCCCCCTTGGTTATTCCATCACCCTCAGAAGTTTGTGGGGTGGGAACAGCACCCTATGAGAAGGCCTTCTCTGTGGTGGCCCCTAAGTTGTGGAACTCCTTCCCCACAGAGGTGCTTCTGGCAACTTCACTATTAAGCTTCTGGGCGCTTTTCTTTGCACAGGCCTTCTGTGACCCCCTTGTGGTGTATATTTTCATGACCCGCCGTATTTCTGTAATTCTGAATTGTTTTAAACTGTATTTAATGTTGTAGTCTAATGTTAGGAGACCCCCCCCCCACTTCCCCTCTCGGAGTTAGTTTCCCAGAATTCCCTGGGAAAGAGGGATAGACTGTTAAAACCACTCTGTGAATTGCAGCTCTCCGAACAGAACAGGAGGGTTTCCTGGCAACTCTCAGCACCCTGGACCAAACACAGTTCCCAGGATTCCCTGGGGCGAAAGCCATGACTGTTTAAAGTGGTACAAAATGGCTTTAAACATATAGCGCAGATGGGACCTTACTCTTTGTAAAAAAAATTGGATGCCTATGGCTGCAACTCCCTAATAATAATAATAATAATAATAATAATAATAATAATTTATTTATTTATATCCTGCCCATTCCCCAGCCACTCTGGGTGGCTTCCAACAAAATATTAAAATACAGTAATGCATCAAACATTAAAAGCTTCCCTGAACAGGGCTGCATGGGACGCGGGTGGCGCTGTGGGTTAAACCACAGAGCCTAGGACTTGCCGATCAAGAAGGTCGGCGGTTCGAATCCCCGCGATGGGGTGAGCTCCCGTTGCTCGGTCCCTGCTCCTGCCAACCTAGCAGTTCAAAAGCACCTCAAAGTGCAAGTAGATAAATAGGTACCGCTCCAGCGGGAAGGTAAACGTCATTTCCGTGTGCTGCTCTGGTTCGCCAGAAGCGGCTCAGTCATGCTGGCCACATGACCCAGAAGCTGGACGCCGGCTCCCTCGGCCAGTAAAGCGAGATGAGCGCCGCAACCCCAGAGTCGGCCACGACAGGACCTAATGGTCAGGGGTCCCTTTACCTTAAACAGGGCTGCCTTCAGATGGGCAGCACTAGAGATTGGACGTTTGTGTCCTGATTTATGCTTTATGCAATTTTTAAAATTTTGCACTGGCAGGGGCTGATGGGAGTTGTAGTCCAAAACCACCCAGGGGGCAACCCTGCCTCTAACACCCCCTTCTCACCCTGTTGCAGGAAGTCGTCTCTGCTGCAGACGCCGACCAGCCAGGGGAAGATCTATTACGAGCCAGATGCTGCAGATGACATAGATGAAGAAGACCCGGACGACGACTTGGATGTGTGAGCGATGGGGAGTCGGCTGCGAATGGAACATTCTGGCGCCTTATTGAAAGCCGCCATCTTGGACGGCTTCTCTTGGCTTCTTCCCACTTGAACATCCGCCTTGGACCTACCTACGAAGGGGAAATCGTCCCTCTCCTTGGGAATAGATGTGCACAGCTAATAGGAAGGAATCCTCCCTGGAAGGGGACACAGAAACCCCTCGAAGACTTCAGGATGTTCCTTCAGGAGCTGCCACAATCGATCTCTTTTACATGCTAAATGGACACAATCCTGACCCCATCCAGCTATGGGTACGCAAAGAGGAGGGGGTTAACACAGGAAGTTATTCTGTGGAAAGAACATGGTTTTTTTATTATTGAGGATAAACAAATCAAGATTTTTTAAAACCAGACATGGATTAGTGATTAATTTTTTTCTTTCTTAGGGGAATATTGACATATCATACCCATTTCAATATTTTTCACACACTAGTTTGCTTGGCGAATATTCAGTGTTGTTGTTTTTTTACAGCTAAAAATAAATTCTGTTCTAGCGTGTTGTCAAAGTTATGAAACTTTGCTCCTTTATAATAGGAAGTTCGCCAAAAAATCGACACTTCTGGCATGCGTTGCCTTCCACCCGGGTTTTCACGGACTTTAAAAAACGATTTTTGGAAATCAGACGCTATTTCCGACGGAGGAATCCTGGATATGTCTGGGAAATGCAGGGCGTATGGCAGCCTTACTTTATAAATGTTTTGGATATTCCTTTTTATAAAATTATTTGTATGCCACTGTATAAAGGCAAAGGTACCCCTGCCCGTACGGGCCAGTCTTGACAGACTCTAGGGTTGTGCGCTCATCTCACTCAAGAGGCCGGGGGCCAGCGCTGTCTGCAGACACTTCCAGGTCACGTGGCCAGCGTGATGAAGCTGCTCTGGCGAACCGGCACCAGAGCAGCACTCGGAAACGCCGTTTCCCTTCCCGCTATAAAGCGGTACCTAATTATCTACTTGCACTTAAGGGTGCTTTCGAACTCCTAGGTGGGCAGGAGCTGGGACCGAAAGACGGGAGCTCACCCCACCGCGGGGATTCGAACCGCCGACCTTACGATCAGCAAGTCCTAGGCACTGAGGTTTTACCCACAGCGCCACCCGCTGTATACAAGATATCAAAGTGGTTTGCAGCAATAAAAACATAAAGCCACCCAATAAAACCATGAAAAGTTAAAAACAGGTGTCAGTTAACCATTGTGGAAGGATATATTCTTAAAACTGCCTGCCTTGGCCTGGCAAAACTGAATTGGTTTTCAGCACACGTTTGAAAGTTGGCACGAAAGGCAGAGGCTGAATCTCTAGTGGCAGGGAGTTCCTTATGTTCAGACAGCCTCGCTTGCTTTCAAAGAAGTGTGGTTTCTCTCTGAAAGCTGCCTGCTTGCGCTTCAAAGGTTCTTCCCTCTTCCTTTTTTGACAATCCAGTGCAGGGGCGTTTAACCTTCCTGGTGTCATAGTCGGATTCTTCTAATTCGAATTCTTCGCCTTTGCAATGCCTGCTACCTTCTAAGCTGGGCTGCCCCAGTAGTCATGTGTGGACCCTCCTCCTACCGTGAAAAGCCCACCACCTTTTTGGACACAGCGTTTGCTGCCTGGGAAAAAAAACCACGGAGTTAAACTACGGAACTCTCTCCCACTGGAGGCAGCGATCGCCACCAATCTGGATGGCTTTAAAGGAGGATTAGGCTGGGGGAGATGGTTAAGTAGCAGGAGGCGGGTGGGAAGCCTGGGCGAGGACAGAGGACTTGGGGGGACCAGTCCAGCCCCATCTTCAAACCTATATTCGAAAAAGAAAAGCAAAAATACATTTGCCAAGCACAACAAGACCCAAGTGGGGCACCCTGGCTGCAATCTCTTCGCGCCTGTACCCAAGCAGAGTTGTGCAAAAAATCCGGCTTTCCCGCTTCTTTTCTATGAGCGACCTTCCCAGCAGGGCAATACTTCTTCTTCTTCTTGTTGTTTAGTCATTTAGTCGTGTCCGCCTCTTCGTGACCCCCTGGACCAGAGCACGCCAGGCCCTCCTGTCTTCCACTGCCTCCCGCAGTTTGGTCAGATTCATGCTAGTCTCTTCGAGAACACTGTCCCACCATCTCGTCCTCCGTCGTCCCCTTCTCCTTGTGCCCCCCATCTTTCCCAACATTCAGGGTCTTTTCCAGGGAGTCCTCTTCTCGTGAGGAGGCCAAAGTCTTGGAGCCTCAGCTTCAGGATCTGTCCTTCCAGTGAGCACTCAGGGCTGGTTTCCTTCAGAATGGAGAGGCTGAATCTTCTTGCAGTCCATGGGACTCTCAAGAGTCTCCTCCAGCACCAGAATTCAAAAGCATCCATTCTTCGGCAATCAGCCTTCTTTGTGGTCCAGCTCTCACTTCCATACATCACTACTGGGAAAACCATGGCTTTAACTATACGGACCTTTGTTGGCAAGGTGATGTCTCTGCTTTTTAAGATGCTGTCTAGATTTGCCATCGCCTTTCTCCCAAGGAGCAGGCGTCTTTTAATTTCGTGGCTGCTGTCACCATCTGCAGTGATCATGGAGCCCAAGAAAGTAAAATCTCTCACTGCCTCCATTTCTTCCCCTTCTATTTGCCAGGAGGTGATGGGACCAGTGGCCATGATCTTCGTTTTTTTGATGTTGAGCTAGAGCAATACTTAATTTATTTTTATTCTTTTTTTTTAAATGTATGTTGAGCCCGGAAGCAACCCTTTGCGTGTAGGTCTATCGCTATACATCTAGTAGCAAGCGAGCGTCTTGGTTCCTCACGCATGCGCCGTTTCCTCCCTGTTTTGTTCGCCCCTCCCCGGTCGTTCAGCGCATGCTCAGACCCGAAGACTCTCTAATCAGTCCGCGCCTGCTCACTTCACCCTCCTGTCCCCCCCCCCCTTCAGCTGGCGGTGTGTCTCTGTTTCTCGTTTTGCGCGTGCGCAACGCCGCCCTCCCAGACCCCCAACCTTGGCCGCATGCGCGGCTGTGTCCTCGCGCATGCCTCTTCCCCCACCGCCACACGCTCCAACTCCCGCTACTCAACCGTCTCCTCCAGCGCTTCGACGCAGGCGCAGTGCGCTCCTCGCCGCCGTGGCCGCGTCTCCCGCGGCTTCTGATTGGACGCGGCCGCGCGCCCCCGGAAGCAGTCTGTGGCGCTGGGTCGGTTGCCCCGGAAGCGGACCGAAGAAGAGGACTACGGTCGGCGGCGGGGGAGGGGGGGAGCGCTTCCCCCCTAAAGCCGGTAGCGACCGTCAGCGGGGAGCTAAGATGGCGGCGCCCGCGGGCACGGGCTGAGGCGGAGGGCGGCGGCCCCTCGCCCGCCTCGCTTTCCCCTTCCCCCCTCCCCGGCTCCTTCCCTCCCTTCCTTCCTTCCGCCCGGCCTCCCTTCCCCGCTGGAAGCTGGCGGAGCTGGGCCGGGCCGGGGGCGCGGCGGGCCCCGCCGGCGGGATGATGCGCTCGCAGTGCCTGCTGGGCCTCCGGGCCTTCCTCGCCTTCGCCGCCAAGCTCTGGGGCTTCCTGCTGTACCTGCTGCGGCGGCAGGCCCGCACCGTGAGTAGCGCCTCCCCGACCCCCGGGGTGGCTGGGCGGGGGTCGCTTCCGGCTTGGAAAGAGCTTCGAGGGCGAGAGTGCCTCTGAGGACGTGCAGAGAGCGAGCGTTCCCTTTTGAAAGTCATTCCTCAAGCTGGGAATCCTCCTCGCTTTGCACCTCTCTGCCCTCCCGACCAGGGTGACCCTCCGCCAGCCCAACATAAGAGCAGAAGAAGCTGCCTTGTTGTCAGAACCACTGGTCCTCCTCGCTCGCTATTTGTGCTGGCCGGCAGCGACTCTCCAGGGTGTCTCTCTACCTGGAGACGCTTTTGGGGGTTGAATCTGGGACCTTTTGCGTGCAGAGCAGATGCTCCACCTGCGAGCTACATAGCTGTTACATACATGCTCCCTTTTTCCTTGAAAGAGTTGTTTTGAGGGGTGTGCGTGCATAGACGAAGATATTTGTGCATACTTTGCCTTGTCCTGCCCTGTTCCATGGCCGAAGGTTTGGCCAGTGTGGAAGGTTGTAGCAACTTCACACCTTGTTGACTTTTACTGGGTATGGGTTTCACTGGCTTGTGTGAGTGAGGTCCAAGTGGAGAGCTGAGAATCCTGGCCTGGGGTTTGTACCAAAGCCTTGGCTCAGGTGTCTCCGCTTGCTGGAGGTACCCTAAAGTGATTGGTGTCTGGTTGATGCTGTGGCCAACAGTTCAGATGCTGTTAAAATTGAGCGAGGAAATGCACCGGTTTCAGACTTTGCCGACAGTTCAAGTGCCTTTTCAAATCTGGCCCATGGTTTCTCAGCCAGTGGTTACAGTTTCTCACCATTGACCCTGCAGGGGATGTTTTACTAAAAGTTTTGCAAGTGCCGTTTCAGCTTTAAAGAAAACGAGAAGTACCCTAAAAACACACGCCCAGATAGTGGAGATAGTGAAGAGCAGCGAGTGAACGTGTCACCAAGTTTAAAAGTGTAGTAACTTAACACTCCTGAAGTGGCTTCTTGAAAGCCAGCCTTTCCCAACTTGGTTTTGGAATATAGCTCTCACCAGCTGCAGGAGAGTTACAGTCCAAAACAGTTGGAGCATACAGTGTTGGAAAAGGCTTCCTTAGGTCACAGCAGAAGTAGTTTATAGGAAAACAATGGGGTACCGAAACAAAAGGGGTAACTCTTCCCCATGAACCCATTTGGCCCTAGAGGAAGGGTATTTCTGAGATTGGGAGCTCAGGTGAAACAAAACGTCAGGTCTGTCTGTTGAGCCTTAAATTCCTTTACAAACTATACGTATGTAAAACTTGTTTTGACTGGTTAATGCACTTACAACGCTTAATGGTGCCGTGCAGTTTCCTGTTCCTTCAGCTCACAGCTTCATCAAACTTTGGGTGCTTTTTCCAGCTATCCTTAGGAATCGATCTGCAGGGATTGCCACCTAATTTTCTCTCTCAACATCTTTAGATGGTCGTAGACTGCAGACCTCATCTTCCCTGTCGTTTGGCCAAGCTGGCTAGAGCCGGTGGGAGTTGTTATCCTCAGTGTCTGGAGGGCACCCATTTGCAGTTTCTGTTTTACACCCCAGTTCAGTACACCCCTGCCCCATATGTGAACTGGGACTGGAGGAAAAGGAAACTATAAGCAGTAGGAACTACGAAACAATTTTATTTGCAATTTCCATCCTGAGGTGTCACAATCTGCTTTTCAATCTGATTTCCATTATTTTTGTTTGTTTCAGATGATTTTGGAGGGTGGGAACAAGATCGGGGTCCATTGGTTCTGTTAACAAAGATTAGAAGGGATTTGAGGAGGAGGAAACCAGGGTGCTTCGGTTTTCATGGAGACAGGAAGTGTGAAGCTTGAGATCCTGGAGATTTCAGTGTTTGGTTAGAAGCTTGACTGCTCCTTTAGCTACAGCCATTGTTGTTGCTGTGTGTGCGTTTGTGTGAGAGAGGGACAACCTGTACCTAATTATGCAAGGTACAGCTTTCCTTCTCCTAAGTTTCTAGTGGGCCTCTGTTTCCTTCCTTGTGCCCCAACCATTCTGAGGACTGCCGGTGCAGTTCAAGTATTGGGCTGGCTTTAGACGTGGGATTCTAGGGCACGGTTCTCCTATAGAAAACTCCATCTTGGTTACCTTGTGTGTAAAATTGAAATAAAGCTTGACTGGGTGAATGCTGGGACAGTTGCAACGGGAGCATGATTTCGTTGGGAGGCAGGAGAAGCTTTCACCACACTCATAGTTAAGCAGGTTGCCATGTTTGCACCTGAGAGTTTCAAGCCCAAACTAGACTGGTTTGTGAGCCCGTTTCTTTGACACTTGACTAATAAGATGCTTGGAAGGTGTGAAATATGTGGAGGGTAAGGGGTGTGTGTGTGTGTGTGTGTGTGGAGCAGCTCTGTCTAGATGCTGCCAGCATATGGCAGGGAGTTTATCACCAGGTGGTACACTGATAATTTTATATCCGTGTGGCTGGTTTCTACGGATGTTGGTTCTGGATTACCGGTTTTGGGGGGAAATGGGTTGGGATGTCACGAGGCGGAGGAGCTACCTTGAAGCCCTTTGGGCTCCCTTCTGGTCCTGGGACAGCTGCCGGGGAGGATTCTAGGAGTGCTTAAAATACTTGCCGTTCAAGATAGCTGTGGGGCACCAGGGATGCCGTGCCCTCACTGTGGCGCGTGTGTGTGTTCCAAAAGTTTGCTGTTGGCAGAAATATAAGGAAGCGAGTGCTGTGTGTGTGTGTGTGTGTGTGTGTGTGTGTGTGTGTCTGTGTGACTCCTACTTGCTGTCTTTCCTTCCAGGCACAGCTGCTGCTGGATAAGGCAGGGGTCCTTGGGGTCAGCGACAGCAGGGTGCTTTGGGAGAAGTCGCCCAATGAAACAGTACCTTGTTTCCCTCTGACTCCTATTTAGACTGTGGGGAGTTGAGAGCACCTGAAGGGTCTGAAGCCCATTTAGGCTGCCTGCTCTCTGCTTTACCCCTGGCATGAGGATCTATTAAGCTTTGCCAAGCTGCTCTGTCCAGGCCCTGGACACAAAATTGACCTGTGCCCCCATGGACAGCAGTGAGTCCAAAATGACTCCCAGGTTGCACACCTGGTCCTTTTGGAGCACAGTTACCGTATTTTTCGCTCCATAAGACGCACTTTTTTCTTCCTAAAAAGTAAGGGGAAATGTCTGTGCATCTTATGGAGCGAATGTGTGGTCCCTGGAGCCGAATTGCCCAGGGGCAAAAAGCAGATCATGCTTTTTTTTTTTTTTTTGAAAGAGGGAAGTGAGTGTTGAAACAAAGCTGCTGATCAGCAAGCGATTGGGAAGGAGATAAGGGACGCTAGAGATAAAGGAGGCTGCTTGGAATGGGGGAGGTAAAGAGCGAACTTGCAAAGGGGGAAAAACAGGAAGACTAAAGCAATAAGGAGAGAAATTAGAAGAAAAGAAGGAGCAAAAAACTGCTCCAGCTAAGGAAAAGACACTAAGGCAAAAAAGAGGGAAGGGAGTGTTGAAAGGAAGCAGCTGATCGGCAAGTGATCAGGAGGGAGATAAGGGACGCTAGCGATAAAGGAGGCTGCCTGGGAGGGGGGAGGTAAAAGCCTATGGATCCTCAGGATTTTTGCATTGGATCACCCCAAACCCACCGTCAAATCACATGTCTGTGGCCACAGCATGAACCATAAAAATCATACATCCACTGTTTCATTCAGAATATTTTTTTTCTTGTTTTCCTCCTCTAAAAACAAGGTGTGTCTTATGGTCAGGTGCGTCTTATGGAGCAAAAAATGCGGTCCTTCATTCGGGACCAGTGAATCCCCCTGTCCCCCAGAAACAGTACTTCTGTCTTGTTGGGGTTCAACCTCCATTAACTGACCACCATCCACACACCCCAACCGCCTCCAGACACCCAAATGCACCCCATCCATCTGGTTGCTCCCCTGAGAGTAGCTGCTTTCCCCCCCCCCCATGCTGACTGGTGTTTTTGACTAACCTTCCCTAACCTAGTCCTGGCTGGGAGTGGTAGTTCAGGGTATCTGGAGTGCAGCAGATTGCCAAGGGTGGAGGGAGCCTAGTCCTGAGTGAGGCTGGGGGCGTTCTTCTTAACAGAAAGGTTTTGATTGGGAGTGTTGGTTCCCCTTAAGGGGAAAGGGGATGTTGGATTTTTCCAAGACAGCTCAGGAGCTTTATTTTTTTTATTTTACTCATTAAATTTGTATACCACCCTTCATGCAAAGATCCCAGGTCTGTTCACAACATAAACATACAAAATGAGAGCAGAAAATACATAATAAAAACAAGAACAAAATCAAACCAATAATCCCTCCCATGCCCTAAACATATCTAAAAGACCACAGAATCAGCCAAAGCCCTGGTTATAGAGAAACAGTTTTGCTTGGTGCCTAAAGATATGTAATGAAGGTGCCAGGTGAGCCTTCCTGGGGAGAGCATTCCACAAATGGGGAGCCACTGCAAAAAAGGCCCGTTCTCGTGTGGCTGCCCTGTGGACCTCTTGTGGAGGAGGCACACGAAGAAGGGCCTCGGATGACGATCACAGGGTCTGGGTTGGTTCATATGGGGAGAGGTGGTCCTTGAGGTATTACGGTCCTGACTTGTTTAAGGCTTTATAGGTCAAAACCAGCACTTTGGAGTGGGCCCAGAAACTAATTGGCAGCCAGCGCAGTGTTACACGCTCAAACCTTCTTGCTGCGGTGAGCAACCTGGCTGCCGAACTC